GTTGCCCCGACCCAGGTGCAGGACCTTGCACTTGGCCTTGTTGAACCTCATGAGGTTCACACGGGCCCACTTCTCCAGCTTGTCCAGGTCCCTCTGGATGGCATCCCGTCCCTCTGGCGTGTTGACCGCACCACTCAGCTTGGTGTCGTCTGCAAACTTGCTGAGGGTGCACTCGATCCCACTGTCTATGTCATTAATTCTTTCTTAAGAAAGAAATTTGGTTCTTAATTGTTAATTAGGAAAAGTGGATATTGGAAAAAGTTCAGAATAGTAAGATTCATGTCATAGTGTTGAGTAGGTAGGGCAGAATAGTGCATTTCTTTTACTGTTTGTAGGTTATCACGTATGTTGGTTCTTCACTCTGTTCTATACTGTTGCTTTTGGGGGGAACCAGTCCTGGACACAGATAATTGCAGTGTCATTAATTTAGAAAGGAGCTTTCAGATGGAGATAGGGGTTGGAAAAGGATATTTTCTTGCATTGTAAGCTATGTAGGATAGGGACTTTCTTTTGCTTCACACAAGGAAATGGTGTTCTGTTTCTTGTGGAGTTCCTAGACCATTGTTTCAATGCAAAGCAGAAATGGCATTGTTAAGAATAATCTGGTTTATCTATGCCTCTGAGTCTGAAGTTATCCTGTGCCACTAGAAGGCAATATAAAAACTCTGCTGTGTATAACCTTAGCGTAGTTTGCCAGAATGACGGCAGTTTTTCATGTGGATACATTCTTGGCTGATAGCTGAGTTGCTGGCCTGGAGAAACAGTTGACTGCTTTTCATCCTTAACCCCAGTCTTTGATTTGCCTAGTTTTGCTAGTCCTTCTAGATCAGCCCCCATTTCCAGTATAAGTTAAAAAAAAAAAAATCTTTCCCTATTTAATGCTTCCCTATTTAATGTGCTTGGCAAATACTTCTTGCACAGGCCTGTTTATTCTAAAGCTGTAGTAATTGTGCTTGCCAGTACAGTATTGTTGAAACGCGGCGACTGTGACGCTGATCACAGCGTAGAACACTGCCCATCAGTGTGGAGGAGGGCATTTTAACCTAAAGGACCTGGGCACTGCTCTTGAGAACAGGGCTGGGAACTGCTTGTGACACAGAGCTTGAGACTTTTAGGGACTTCTCATCGTGAAGTCTCAAGTACAGTCAAATGCATTCTGTACAAGCTTTGCATACATTTCTCTTGCATTATTTCTTCTGGAAAAGCTTTGTCTCTCCAACTTTCGTGGAACTATTAGGCCGTTCTTCTGGTGAGTGGTCAATTAACCAGATCACCAGAAGACTCCTGTGTTGAGTTTGCTGTGCTTGCACTGGAAACTACTGGAGAGCAGTGCCTTACAGCAGATTCAGTTGCCTAACATTAGTGCTGATAAGCAGGTTAATGTAACTTTGCAAAGAGCTCAAGTAACCTCTAATGAAGCTTTCTCTCTTTCCCTTTGCAGGTGGTTAGTCGAGTGGCAGCTCAGCAAGGATTTGACTTGGACCTTGGATACAGGCTACTGGCAGTATGTGCAGCCAACAGGGACAAATTCACTCCAAAATCAGCTGGTAGGAAAAGCCTTTTTTTGGTGTATTACTGATTCTTGGATGTTCATATTCTGAATAAATGCTACCTGCAACTGTCTTGCATTCTTTAAAAAACAAAACCAGAACCGAACACGTATTTGGTGGTAATAGTGCTGCTGCTTTTAGCATTGCAATGGCATGCTGCTCTGAGGATACATGACTTTGGAAATGTGCGTTTTCCCCAACTAGTGCTGTTTGTTGCCCTGTTTGATCTTATAGATGAAATGTTACTTCCAGAAACACTGATGTTCAGTAATGTAATGGTGGGAATGAACACACTCAGGCCCCTCCATCTTGGTAAACCATTGATTTTCTGTCATGTGTCAACCTCTAAATCTTTCACATTCATTCTGCACTCCCTGATATATCTATTGCCAAACTTCTATTCCTTGACTGCATATGTCTGTACAAAGAAGTACCGTAGTTTCTCGTACATCTAGTCATTAGCTTTAGAATTTTGAGCCAATAGTAGGTGGCAATGCTATTGGTATAGTATTAAGTAGCCATTTTTCCAGTATTTTACGGCAATAATCTGTTATAGGGCTCTGATCAAGTAGCAGTATTTGATCACGATGTATTGCCGTTGCTTCTCTGTATAGTAGAAGTAGAAAATGCACTTTAGGGTCTTTCTGCTTCTCACATGTTTGATTTAACTGGAGCATTTAATTCTGGTTCTCCTTCTCTTAGCTGATGAATGTCAACATAATGTGCACTGGCTTGGAAAACAGGCAGATAACTGTTCCATTCCAGACTGAGCATGGATAACTTCTCTGCTTAGTACTAAGCTGGTATGCAGACCCCGTTTTAGAACATCAGAAAAGGTTACCTTCTTCCAAAACAGTAATTTGTAGTCAACTGATTGGGTGTTAACATTTCTTTTCATGTTCCTTTTCAGTTTTTATCAGCCCCAAACTTCTTTAATCATGGCTACCTTTTGTCCTAAGTGCTCTAAGCAGTTCCTCGTGCAAAAGTGGCTTTCACATCAAGGCATATTCACTGGACTTACTGATTTATCTTTTGTATGGGAAGGGATCATTAATTTTACTAAATGTCGAATAAACTGTCTGATTTTCATCTGGGAAAACTGTGTGGAAGATTAAACATTCAGTTGACCAAGCATGAACTCCCTTTTTTCTGAATTTCTAGTAAGTTTCTCCAATAGTTAGCTATTGCATCTCTTCTTGATTTTTTTTTTTAAAGCCTGTCAAATGAGGATTTCCAGCTATGAGTACATTAAGTGAGACATTAAAACTTTATTTCCTTTGAAAATATACCTATTAAAAATAGTCATACCCCCTCTCTTGCCAATTCTTCCTGAGGTGTGTGTCTATCGGTGTGTTAGTGAAGGTGAGGTTGTGAGTCTTTGGATCTATTCATATTGTAGTCCTTTTCCTTCAGGGCTTGGATGAGGGGATAGTCTTGAAAACCACTGGTCAGTCATCACATCCTAGAAAAGCCCAGTGTCAGCGTTTGATTTCTACCAGTAATTACTTTTTGGGACTATATGCTTTTTTTTTCAACTCATTACCCTAGCAATCTGTACAGATTTCAGTCTTTCCATTGTTAATTGATACAATACTGGGAAAGCTGGTAACGAAATCATGTGCTCTTCTCTCAGCGTATTCTGAAAACCTTCTCAGACCTTTGCTTTGCTTCCTATTTCCCAGTTGCATATACAACTAATTTATTTCCAATGATCTTAAATATTTGGTCTCACAACTACTTTAGTTTTACCATGTATACAGTTGTTTCGCCAGTTATTCCAGGGATTTCATCATGCCCATCCACATTGTGTTTCTTAGTGCTCTTATTGTCTGTATTAAATACTCCTATTTTGGGGCATACCATAACATATTTTGTGAAATGTCACATATAGCCCCTGCTCTAAGGATGTCACATTCCCATACGATATGCGAGAGGTACATCATTGAATGGGCAACTTGAAAGACTGTCAGGCTGGAATTACAAATGTGAGGTCGTTTCAGACCCTCCTGACTTTTTTGAAAGGGTTAATTTCCACATCTGAGCGCATTAACGTTTTCTGATTTCTAAAGCAACAGTGGCTCCGCTCCCTCATTCAGTTTTTGTAAAAATGTTGAGGTTGTCCTTTGCTTTCTTTCTAAACAGCGTGCATCGTTGAACGCTGCCTTTCATGATTTGCTGAAGTTGTTGTCAAGGATGCTTACATGTTGTTTTGAGTAACTCATTCTTTTTTCTGTTACATCTATTGAAAGACACCTTCAACACTTCTTCCAGTCACTTTCCTACGGAAGTCCCCTGATGTAGATATCAAATGGCATTATTTTTAGTGAATAAGCATTTGTTTTTCCAGGCTTAAGGGGAATTTACAATGGTTTGAATTCATTCCTCCAAGTATGAATTTAATGCTGCCAAAGGGATCGCTCTGGAAGCATTTTTAATCCATATTGTTTAGTGTCTGACATTCTGAAATGTAAGGAGAAAAAAACCTTTTCTAATTAAAACACATTTGAGTAGGTGAACACTGGGGAAAATATTTGCACCAAATCCTTTCAAGGGCCATCCACTATTAGTACCTCTTTACGGCTTAGGAGAAGGCTTGTTGACTGATGTCCTGCAGGCTGGGACGCCTGGAGTGGCCTGGCAGGGGGGGGTAGGTGAACACTGGGGAAAATATTTGCACCAAATCCTTTCAAGGGCCATCCACTATTAGTACCTCTTTACGGCTTAGGAGAAGGCTTGTTGACTGATGTCCTGCAGGCTGGGACGCCTGGAGTGGCCTGGCAGTGGTGGGCGGGAAGGGTTTGGGGCCCCGTGGTGGGGAAATGCAGGCTGGGACGCCTGGAGTGGCCTGGCAGTGGTGGCTGGCAGGCTTTGCAGCTCTGCTGTGTGGAGCAGGTGGACCACCCCAGCCAGATGTCCCTCAGGTCTGCTGGTTTGCAGAGGCAGCTGAACCAGTGCAATTGGTAGTCCTGCTTCTGTTCTCCGGCAATTCGTGGCCTGAGTTGCTCAGGGACCTGTAGTGGCTGTAGAGCTTTTGGGGTACAGCTTGTCTTCTGTTTGACTGGCTCCCTGAGCTGGCTCTCTGCCAGGAGAGGGAGGGTCCCTGTGGCAGTGCCCGAGGGTCTCGGTTATCCCTGATGGAAGAGGGCTGGAGCCTGAGGCTAGAGGGCAGAGCAGCCAGCTGCCAAACTGGCTCAGCTCTATGGGAAACCCACACCACTGTCTCATGCAATTGGCCCCGCGCTGTTTCATCCCAGTTGATTTAAACCGTTTTGGTGGTAGCTCCCTGCTAAGCTGAAGAGGTTGAGGAGTGATTACAGGAGCTGCAGATGGCAGATCAGAGCACAGGCAAGCATGGAGGGAAGCGGGGAGAGATGAGGAGCTGGAGCCAGGTGAGACAGCAACCTTCTCGGGTGGCACAGCCTCAGCCCGGGGGAAGGCAGGGGAACAGACCGAGAGCTGTCAGCTCCTTGGCATTTCCCATCCAGGACCGTTTGGTGTTGCCGAGACAGTGTTTGATGTCCTGCTTTTTGTCTTGTTTTACTTGGCCATTGAGATAGTTAACAATTAGCTAATACAAATTGTTTTGGAGAATGCCTTGAGGGGAGACCCATGTGGCATGAAAAGTATTAAAAAGTTGTCGTGTGCTTTTAAATAGTAATGACGATTTAATGACTGTGCCTTTTGTCTCTGCTTTCTGGTGTTTGTACCTGAAATAATAGCTGTGCCTCCTTTTATTCTTCTAGCCCATGCTGCTGCATGCAGCTGGGCTGCTGCCTCAGCAGGAGGTCAAGTACAGCGTTTCCCCACCCTGAAGACAAATGACAAAGCCTTTAAAAATATATGTGTCTCTTTTGGCGACAGCTGCTCCCCAAACCTTCTACGGCAAATTCCTTTGCCTTGTTGTGACACCTATAGGGAATGGCCCAGCAGGTTAGCTGCCTGATCATTTGCTTTCAAACTAGCAACCTCAGTCGATCTTAGTATGTGAGTGCACGCGTGTTTGGGTATTCTGGGTTTTCTTCCTTAAGCCTGAAGACCACCTTCTTTCTGAACAGTGCTTGCTTGGACCTTTTCTGAGCATGATAGCTGCTGCTTTTGTCCTTCCTGTAGAAGATTTTAAGTGATTTGGTAGCTTTGTTTTAAGGTCTGCTATTCAAATAAAACAGAGTTCACCGATCAGAGTGGGTTTTTTAAAAATTAAAAAAGAAGAGAGAGGGAGTAATTTTCTGTTCTGAAATATTTTTTTTTAAAAATACTTTATCGAGCTACTGAACTTCATTGCTCTTGTAGCTACTTTTGCTTTTGTCAGGAGGCCAAGCTGAGGCCAGACAAGGGGACGACAGGATGAGATCATACAGGGAGCTTTGTCAGAAAAGGACAGTGTTCAGTATCTCTCTAAAGAGAGAGAGAGAGAGGGAGGAAGGAGCCTGAGGGCAGAACTGTGCAGAAAAGGTACTTCAGCAGTCACTGAGAAGCTACAACAAATAAATGCTGTGATAGCTTGGGTGGGCAGCTAAGTGTTAGATGTTTGATAGCAGAGATAGCAACCCCTTTTTGCTTTGTTTTCAGTCCCTTAGGCTCTGCCTGGTGTGCTTTTGATTTTACTTTTCAAGAGCAGTATTACTTAATAATCTTAATTTTATATGAAGCGTAAACTAAAACTCTATGGTATTTGAGAATTTTACATTGTTTATTTCTTTAGCTTTAATTATTGTAATGTAACTGTAGAATAGTAGGGCTGTTCTTAGTGGATCTGAGACCAAAGCTGTGAATAAATTGGACCCCGGGTTAACAAAGGTATTTTCAGTGAGAGTACTGGCAAATGGTGGTGTTAAAACATCACTGGACAAGATACTGAGACCAAAGGTATGTCCTGATTAGGGTACATCATCTAACATGGTTTACTGCCTTGTTTCAAAGCAATAGTATAGATTGGGCAAAGTGCGTTTTGCCGTATTATCAAATCAAACTTACAGAAATGAGAAAAAAGGACAGAA